CCTGTCACGTCCCTAGGGTCCCTCTCCAAATTCTACAGAAGCACAAAGGCCCGGCATGGCAACTGCTCTGCCCAGTACCGCAAGAAACCACAGAAGGTGTCATTCACAGTCCAGAACATCACAGAAGCCAGCCAACCATCCATCCATGGACCCCACCCATACAGCTTGCTACCTCGGATAGGTGACCAATGCCAGCAAAGATGCATTGCACCTCAGTAGTGACCTCCTACAACCTCTTCTGTCAGGCAGAAGACACAGAAGCCTTAACACACACACAAACAGGCCCAGGAACAGCATCAGACTGTTGAATGGACTCTAGCCTCAAATAATATAACCTGCAATATAACTTGTATTTCATCTAAGTCTTTTTGATCTGTACATCCTTTGCTTGCTGTGATTTGTCTGTGCTGCTTGAAAACAAAGTTTTTCACTGTATTTTTGTCCACATGACAATAAAACAATCAATCAATGTCTTGGAAGATTACATAAACAAAACTGCTTTGATATCTGTTTAATAAACTGGATGCTTTATTGCCACAAAGGACAAGGATTGTCCTGCAGAAGAAGTTAAGGACTTAATTGCATGTAAAGCTGTGTTTTAAACAGACAGCTAATCCCTGAATGTAACAAGGCACAGGGGAGCTACTTCTGATAAGAAGGAAAGTTACATACTTAAAGTCTCCAGAAATATAATCAATGTTAAAGATGAAAGAATCTATTGAATCATCATTAGTTATCACACCACAAACTTGAAAGAGAGAAAATTGTAAACAAATCCAACACCAGAACTCTCCCTTAGCAGAACTTCAAAGAAAAACACTGCATAAGGATCAAACCCTGACCACTTCCAGAGACAGACACTGTTGGTAGAATCCTGGCCAGATTCCACCATTAATTGGGTAATAGCCAAGTTGTAGTTAAATAACTGCGATGTGGTAAATTGAGCAATATGTGAAGTTAGTGGTTCAGCTGCAAGGATATTGAATTTGAATATACATTCACTGACCTTGACTACTCAGATGAGGTCATGAAGCTTCTTGCAACACTTTGTAGCCTGTTGCATGGGGTTGGACTTTTGGAATTGACTTTGCTGACTATCTATTTCCACTGCCTTCACAGTGTTAGTCTGAAGGGCCCCCTGTGAATATAGGATGTATCTACTTGTCACCCCTGACACCAATGCTTCCAATGCTGGAACGTCGTCTTTTCTCTGGTGTGTCGATCTTCCTGTAGATCAGACACCCTCCCCAGCTGGTTGTAGCACCCGCTCCTCTCAAGATATACCTCCCCTTCAAACAGCGCAGGCTGGATTAAAGTTAAACTTGAACTCGAGCTAACTTCTCATAATTTTAATGTCTCTTGCTCAGTCATGCAGGCACTCATAATTACCTGCTGCAATTATGTAAGTGAGGTGACTGCATAGAATTTGTGTGCTGAATCACATTATGCATATTTCTTTTATGGTCAAAACTTTCTGGAGGGGGCCTTGAATTTCATTAGAAAGTGAATGGCTGGGGGCACATCCGAACAAGTTTAAATGCTACAGCAAAAATGAGCCGTGCAAGTGAAAACAAACTTATCCACAGCCCCATCAAGTGGTTAGAGCCAGAACTGCAGAAATCATAACCCTGAGCTGCCGATTTCACAGAATTTTCATTTTCATAGAATCTTAGAATTGTTGCGGTGCAGATGTAGGCCATTTGGCTCATTATATTACTCTGGCTACCTAAGCATTTTAACTCGGTGCCGATCTCTTGCTTTTTCCCCATAACCTTGCACATTGCTTCCACTTGAACACTATATATGTAAATGATCTGGAGGAATGTATAGATGGTCTGATTAGCAAGTTTGCAGATGACACTAAGATTGGTGGAGTAGCAGATAGTGAAGGAGACTGTCGGAGAATGCAGCAGAATATAGATAGACTGGAGAGTTGGGCGGAGAAATGGCAGATGGAGTTCAATCCAGGCAAATGCGAGGTGATGCATTTTGGAAGATCCAATTCAAGAGCGAACTATACGGTAAATGGAAAAGCCCTGGGGAAAATTGATGCACAGAGAGATCTGGGTGTTCAGGTCCATTGTACCCTGAAGGTGGCAATGCAGGTCGATAGAGTGGTCAAGAAGGCATACGGCATGCTTTCATTCATCGGACGGGGTATTGAGTGCAAGAATTGGCAGGTCATGTTACAGTTGTATAGGACTTTGGTTCGATCACATTTGTAATACTGCATACAGTTCTGGTCGCCACATTACCAAAAGGATGTGGATGCTATGGAGAGGGTGCAGAGGAGGTTCACTAGGATGTTGCCTGGTATGGAGGGCGCTAGCTATGAAGAGAGGTTGAATAGATTAGGATTATTTGCATTAGAAAGACTGAGGTTGAGGGCGGACCTAATTGAGGTCTACAAAATGGTGAGAGGTATAGACAGGGTGGATAGCAAGAAGCTTTTTCCCAGAGTGGGGGACTCAATTACTAGGCGTCATGATTTCAAGGTGAGAGGGGAGAAGTTTAAGGAAGATATGCGTGGAAAGTTCTTTACGCAGAGGGTCGTGGGTGCCTGGAACACGTTGCCAGCGGAGGTGGTAGAGGTGGGCACGATAGTGTCATTTAAGATGTATCTAGACAGATACATGAATGGGCAGGGAGCAGAGGGATACAGATCCTTGGAAAATAGGCGACAGGTTGAGATAGAGGATCTGGATTGCGCAGGCTTGGAGGGCCGAAGGGCCTGTTGCTGTGCTGTAATTTTCTTTGTTCTTTGTTCTTTGAATAATCATCCACAGCCCTCGATTGTCTGAATTGAACTCTCCTCCATCAAAATTCTAGGTAATGCATTCCAGACGCTAACCACTAACTGTGTGAAGAGGGGTTTTCTCATTTCTCATTTGCTTCTCTTGTAAAGCATTTTAAAACGGTGCCCTTTGATTCTTGGCCCATTTCCAATAGGAACAGTCACGCCCTACCCCCTCTGACCACACTGCCCATGACTTTGAAAAGTTCAATTAAATCTCAACCTTCTCCCTCCCAAGGAAAACAGTCCCAGCTTCTGCAATCTATTTCATAACTGAAGTGTCCTTTCCCTGAAACCATTCTCGTAAACCTCTTTTGACTCGAAATATTCACATTCTTCCTAAAATGTGGTGCCCAGAACTGTACACAATACTCCGGCTGGGTCCAAACAGTGTATGATATAAATTTATCATAATCTCCCTGCTCTGGCCCTTTGTGCCTCAATGTATGAAGCCTAGAATATGGTATGCTTTATAATAGCTCTCTCTATCTGTCTTGCCATCTTTAATGACTTAAGTACCATACATCCAGGAGTCTCTTTTCCTGTGCACCTTTTAGAACAGTACCCTTTGTTTTATATTGTCTCTCCATGTTTTTTGTACCAGGGTGTATCACCTGATACTTTTTGCATTGAACAACATCTTCCAGCTACAGCCCACCCATCAACATGCCAATGGCCTCTGGGAATTCTACGCTATATTCCTCACAGTTTACACTTTTCTCAAGTTTTGAGTCATCCACAAACTTTGAAATAGGCCCGACACAACAAGATTCAGATCATTAATATACAGTAAGGAAAAGCGACGATCCCAATATTGGCCCCTCTGCACCTTTTAATTCTTCACTTTGTTCTCACTCTGATCTTTCTGCCCTTAGCCTACTTTAATATTCCAATGAAACTAAATAAAAGCCTGAAGAACAGCACCTCATCTTTCAACGTGACATGCTAAAGCCTCGAGGAATAAACACTGTGGTTCAACGATCTTAGATCATAATCGCTGCCTTCATTTTGTTTCACTTGTTTACCGGTTTGAGTCGTTTCATTAATTTTAAGTTCATGTGTATTCTGAAATTGTGTGACCATATGCAACAGTCAATTTCAGTTTTTCTGCAGTTTCACACCTGGAATACCAACTGTCTCTGCAGAGTTTTGCTTTCCAGGTTGATCTTTCTGATGCTTATGCTTTTACTTTATTTAAAATTGATTTTTTCCCCTTAATTCTAATGGGATATCAAAACCACGTGAGAAATAAATTGGATTTGCTGAGATATTGATTCAGCAGATGTAACAAATTAGAGTGGTTTCGTGATGACAAGACAACATGCACGCTAACTGGCCAAAGATGACGTATATTATTGGTTTAAAAAAAAGTTTTGGCATGTTGATGGGTGGGCTGTAGCTGGAAGGTGTTGTTCAATGCAAAAAGTATCAGGTGATACACTCTGGTACAAAAAAACTCTTGTGGTCTATTAGTTCCTGCTCATGTACCTGGTGAGAAGTTTGCATGAAGCAATCCTGTAGTTTTCCACTCTGGGGAGTTCCAGTTCAACTGTAACATATTCGTGTACTTCTTCAGATTTTGTAGCCATGACAAAAATATAGTTGTACCTCCATAAAGTTAGATTATAATATAACCTAGTTAGCTTGCAGACACATGGACACTCAATGGCACTTTGTTGTGAAGCCAGCTGCTTCAGTAATGGATTCAATTTTGTATCTTCTCACCAGCTGGTACATGCACAGCAATCTCAGAATCTTTCGTGCATTTAAGCCTTATAATGTTAACATAAAATGATTTATCCCAGTGCCCTCTGAGAAATCATCCTGCAGAAATTGTGTGGATTGTGATTGACTTTCATTTGTAATCCATTTGCAAAGAAGAACATTGTAGTGATGGGATGACTATTGATAAATTTGAGGACCTCTTTCAGTGTAGATGTCTAAAATAGGCATTAGGCTTCTTGAAAATATTTATTGAGTTCCTGTTGACGGATACCTTTTAAGATCATTCAATGATAAGCTAATCTGTCCCATCAGATTCTTCAGTGGCTCCTATTGTGGTCAATGTCATTTAAGTGTAAGAACTGTCATTTAAGACAAAAACATTGCAGAGCTATGAGGAGCAGGGGCTTTCCCAGATTGCACAGCCAATTACAGGACCATCCAGACCTACAAAATCTGTTACAAATTACCTTCAGGGACTTACCTGCCAGCGGGGCAGTCAATCCTCACATTGACGTCCAGCCCTCAAACTACGCAATAGCATATGCTTATGAGATGGAGGGAAAACTTTGAATGTTCCTTAAGTTTTTCAGCCTGGTTGTGTGCTACTTGCAAACTGCTGAGGCTGCTCTGCAAAACAGACCCAGTGAAAGTTTACTACTATTTCAGAAACATAAATAATATGGTTAAATTCTGCCGTGAAAAAATGACTCACCTATATACACCTTAACGCAAACTGTCCTACCTGTACAAATACTTTGGGTTGAATTTTGCTAGAAATCATGGAGGAGTTAATTTTGGTGAGTTTTTTCATGGAGAATTTCTCTCTGTGAGGCCTAGTGAGTTATCTCACATCATCTGCCTGAACTCCTAAACTGTCTAACATCATTTATACACCATGACCCTATGGTGCCCAATTTTTGTATCCTCCAAGTTGGTGTAGACAGAAAATACTTTCCACTGCCAGGACAGCCTGAGTTTCCTGGTGTTGACACCCATATTTAAAAAAGCCAGCAGTCAGGATCTGCCCTTCATGGCTTGTGTCATTTATCCATAAAAAGAGGCTAGTCTGCAACTCACTCTGTGAAGTGTGACCTGTGTTGATGTTCATCCTCATGTGAAATGGAACTGGAAAATAACTGCCACCACACTTGGAGTAGGTTTTTGTTTCCGTCTGAGGGAATGGGCTCTACTTGTGAGTAATGTGAGTAATCCTATCGCACTTACAATCTCCTGGAGTTGTGCTGCATACATCAGAATGAGATCTGCTGTGTCAAAGGTCTATCTAAAGTCATAGTATGGCCCACCTTGCTGGATTCCTCCATTTCCCAACATATTGAGGACTACAGTAAACTTTAAATTGTGAGTCATATGAATACTCACTGCTCACATTCCTAAGGAAGTATTTTGTTTCTGATGTTCCCCAGATAGGCTATTTAGAGCAATCACCAATGGATTCAGTGACAGCAGGGGTGATTGTCTGTGTGGCCACTGTACAAAGAACACAAAGATACATTGAAGAGGAACAAGCTCAGTGTCAGCAGCAACCTCCAGGGGTTGTTAAACATGTTAGAGCAGGATGATGAGGAGGTAAAGGGAACCCAAAGTACTTGATGCCATTTTCCCTCCCAGGTGAGTGGGGTGTAGTGTCACTACAGACAGATTGCCCAGGACACTGTAACAGAAAAGTGTCATCTGTTGGAGGACATGTGAACTAAAGGGGGAAAGGGGGTAGCAGGGTGGATCTCAAGCTGTCAGTTGCCCTAAATGTTTATGCAACTGCTGCTTCCAAAGATTTCTTGGGGATTTGTGTGGGATCTCTCAATCCTCAACCATCAAATTTATCAAGATGCAAGTTACGGATGCAGGTTGTGTACGATTACATTGCTTCATCTCATTTCCACATGACGTGATCAGTTCCGTAACCTGTACAACTTTAGCATTGAGAGTGCCACATCATTCATCAATAGAAAAGGTCTACATTCAATCAACATTAAGGTCTTCTATGATAATTGGCCTACATCTGTGCCAGGTACCCTGGAAGCTGCCATGATGTCTATATCCTGAAGAACTCTTAGGTTCCTGCTTCTTTTCAAGGGCTGGATGCCTTACAAGGATAGCTGTTGGGAGAGTAGGGTACCCTCTGTGTCCATGGCTAATGACTCTGTAACCTATCCTCCTGACTGAGGCCTAGTGTAGATACAACAAAGTCCATTGTTCTTCCATGGCCATCATGGAGCAGAAGATAGACTTTTGAAGATGAGGTTCTGATGCTTGTATCAGACTGGCGGACTTGTTATACTTGTTGTATAATCCTTGAATCTTGTGTTCTGCACAAGAAGAGTAGGCTAAGACGGAATGTGATGGATGCTGAAGAGAATGGTAGTAGCTTTTTGAGGAAGAAGTTAGGACATTGAGCAAAAGGAAAATCACCTTTAGCAGAGTAGAGCATTAGACTGTTGGTTGTAATAAGTCAGAGAGGACTTAATTGATACACACTTTGAAACAATCTGAGTTGGATGAAGTCAATGTTCGCAGACCATAAATTTGTTTTTAGTCAAAAGGGAAGTCCTGTTTCAGTCTTAGTAGCAAATTCAGATTAGAACAAAGAACAAAGAACAAAGAAAATTACGGCACAGGAACAGGCCCTTCGGCCCTCCAAGCCTGCACCGATCCAGATCCTCTATCTCAACCTGTCGCCTATTTTCCAAGGATCTGTATCCCTCTGCTCCCCGCCTATTCATGTATCTGTCTAGATACATCTTAAATGACACTATCGTGCCCACTTCTGCCACCTCCGCTGGCAACGCGTTCCAGGCACCCACCACCCTCTGCATAAAGAACTTTCCACGCATATCTCCCTTAAACTTCTCCCCTCTCACCTTGAAATCGTGACCCCTAGTAATTGAGTCCTCCACTCTGGGAAAAAGCTTCTTGCTATCCACCCTGTCTATACCTCTCATGATTTTGTAGACCTCAATCAGGTCCCCCCTCAACATCCGTCTTTCTAATGTAAATAATCCTAATCTACTCAATCTCTCTTCATAGCTAGCGCCCTCCATACCAGGCAACTTCCTGGTGAACCTCCTCTGCACCCTCTCCAAAGCATCCACATCCTTTTGGTAACGTGGCGACCAGAACTGTACGCAGTATTCCAAATGTGGTCGAATCAAAGTCCTATACAACTGTAACATGACCTGCCAACTCTTGTACTCAATACCCATTATTTATTTGTTTCTTCATTTTTCCTGCTGTTTATTAAAAGTTAATGTTGACAACTGTTTGGAAGTGATACAACGCGATGCTCCCACATTAAAAATGACAGTATGTTATCCTATGCTGGGAGTTAGAGAAAGAATAGCACTTCTTCAGTGTTTTAACATGGCATGGTGCTAATGATAAAATCTGCCGTTTGATTTATGTAACTGCAGTTAAATAACAGTCAATTAGACATAGGATGATGTAAAGTGGCAATTTATTTACAAATGTGTGCCTCTGTTTCCAATGAAGTATAATCGGTTTCATCCATGCGCCATCACTAAGTTTATTGTGAAGGGCTATTAGTGGCTTGCAGCATTTTGACCTGGTACGCGGCTAGCCTTTAAGTGAGGCACTGGTGGCATGAATCTTTGAAGGTCATAGCAAATACTTCTGCTGCTGATGAGCTCAATATAAGTAAGATCACAGCGCTGTAGAGGTGTGATGCCTACATAATGAGGTCAGCAGCAGAGAATTCACAATCAGAAATTCCCCTAAATTGACCCACAGTTGATTTTTTGGAAAATTCAGTGCATCATGAGACACTTTCACTGGCTTTCGTTTGCGTCTTGTTTCAAAACTGGGAGGCAAGCTGGTAAGTTGCAGCAACATAAACAATAAATGACGAAACACTTCCTAACAGAGCCGCAGTTGTCGAACTAGAGACCCAGAATCTGTGTGGAACTGTGGTGAATACAGGTGTAGTGACACAAAGAAAAGAAGCTACAGCCATCTCTTTCTAGATGTGACATATTTCAGCTGCCTAAGTATGATACAGGTAACTGAAAATTAATGTTGCTCATTATGGCTAACAATGTTTCGCACACCTACTAGACCAGATTTATGAATGCCTACACTGATGTGTACAGTTTGACACTAACCTAACTTTCAGAGGAGTGATTCTGAAATCAAAACAATAGTTTATCAATATGGAGGAAACAAATATTTTATCTGGATAATATTTGATGGAGTGTGTGTGAGATACATGTTTGTCCAGGTGCTCACTAGCTAGATTTATTTTCACATCTCTTCACTGATGTTACTTTCTAGCCCTCAAATAGGGTACTGCAAATACCAGGGTGAAGTATACTGTATGTTCCCACAGCATTTATCAGTAAATTAAATATTGGTATTAAATATTTAGCAGTAAAAGCTGACACAATCATCCAACCCACTGAAAATTTCACATCATTGGATTTGGAGATGTATCTTACAATGCCAGTCACAATTTGTGCACTATAGTATCAACTCCACAGATCCCAATTTAGCTGGTTGTTTCATCTGAATTTAGGCAACACAACAATTTCAGATTTGGATTAGATATGGCAACTGAACACATGTGTGGTATTTTTATAAAAAATATATTTTAACAACCATTTAATATGCAACTGTACAGGTACAATTCTCATGTTGATTCATACCAATAAGCCTGTTTTCTATTTACAATGCAATAGGCAAGAATATTGCTTAAATACAAAATTCAATAAAAATGTTCAAGTATTTTGAAAACGAAGGGGCAAACTGAAAGCATGTTAACTGTAGTTAAAGCCCACTTAAATCATATAAAAATACTGCTGCAGTAACCAGCTTCTCAACAGTGAAATATTTAGGAATCCGATATTTGGTCTGCTGGGAATACAGTGTTGTCTTGTGGGCAGTTATAATGACAGGAACATGTGATGATGATCATCATCTGTTTTTGAACAATTATTCCTCCTGCACATTTAAAATCCAGCTGGGATGTTTTGGTGCTGTGAGGGGTGCAACATCTTCCATCATTGCAAACTCCACAATATTTAGGTTTGTATGACTGGACGGTTATGCAGCCATCATATTGAAATCTTGTAGGTTTTGCTGCTTTTGGTGTTCGGACACATCTTTTCCCTTTCTTTGAAAACAGGAAGCAAAATTCAAACTAATTAAAACACTCCTGTCAGTTATCAGTTTTACAAGTGCAAAGAAGAATATTCTAACAGTTTTAAAGTATGACATCATACTGGGTTCTGATACCGTAATACATATGCAGGAGAGCTCAACTTGCACATCAATATGTTGTTACACAGGACATAATTATGAAACTCAAAAAAGTAATTTCAGTTTGAGTTTACAGGAAGAGACAATTTGGTATTCAAGTCTGTTTGCTTGGTAAATTTGCAACTGCATCAAATATTATTGAATAAATGGAGTAGTAAAGATACTGTAGCTTTTCAAACAATATTATTGTAGCTGAAAAACACATGATTTTTATCTGGCCTTTTCTTAACAAGTGTTTCTTTTCAAATGCAGAAAAAGAGGATTGGAGAGCCACATATGGAATGCAAATAACAGTGATTTCCAGTTCAGATCGGACTATATTGCAGAGTTTCACCATTGTACAGTTAGATCCAAATTGTGCAAAATTCCAGTTCTCATTGTGAATTGGACCAGGGCATTAAAAGAAGTGGTTGCAGAGCTAGTGGGGGCATTTGTGAAAACTTCCAAAATTCCTTAGATTCTGTTAAAGGTCCCAGTCAACTGGAGAATAAGAAATGTAACACCATTATTCAAGAAAAGGAGGGACACAGAAAGTATGACACCATAGGTCAGTTAACTTAAAATGTGTCACAGGGAAATTACTAGAATCCATTAAGGAGTTTGTGGTAGGAAACTTAAACTGCAAAGGGATCAGATAGAGTCAACATGGTTTTGCAAAAGATAATCGTGTTTTACTAAATTAGAGCTCTTATGAAATAACTGACAAGTTGTATAAAGGGGAACCTGTGGGTGTGATATACTTGGATTTCTAAAAAGGCATTTGATAAAAGTGCCACAACAAAGGATACTACACAAATTAAGAGCTCATAGTGCAGGGGTGACATAGTGACATGGCTGGCTAACATGAAGCAAAGAATAAATTGATCTTTTTCTGTTATTCTGTAGCATGCATTCCAACTTCACCACAATCTATTCCTAAACTTGTACAGCAATACATTGTCTAAGATACAGATGTTCAGATGATGTATTAAACGAGTGGTTCAAATCAAGTGGAGGATAAAAGACCCACAGCACAATTTGAAGGTGAGCTGTCCTTGGTGTCCCAATTTTATTTCCCAATTGTCCAAAATTTATTCTTCAACCAAGACCAGCTAAAAAAGTTGTCATTTTCATCTAGAGAGAACAAAGTGTGGAGCTGGAGGAACACAGCAGGTCAGGCAGCAGCAGAGAAACAGGAAAGCTGACGTTTCAGGTCAGGACCCAGGAAATTTCTGAAGCATCCTGACATGAAACATCAGCTTTCCTGCTCCCTGCCCTGCTGTGTTCCTCCAGCTCCACACTTATCTGACTCCAGCGTCTGCAGTTCTTGCTATTTCTGTCGTCATTTTTATTTACTATTTTCATGATTTGGCTACATTTGGATTCAGTGCCTTGTTTGCCTATGTAACAATGACTATAGTTTACATAATTTATTAGTTTATGAAGTGATTGATTAAACAATCTGGAGGGTTTCTTTCTTATTCCTCCATGATTAAAATACTGTTATAGAATTCATTCTGATGTTCTCGTTTGATGTTTTGTAGTTTTGTTGTTGGGAATTTACCTAAGCTATCCAAAAAGTGTGCAAGTGCAATTTGTCAGAGCCTTCAACTGGAGAAAGATTTGTGCTTCTAGTTTAGAAATTACTTAAGTTATAGAAAAATACTTTTAGCAACAAGTATACATTGTTGACAGATCCTTATAGGAGCACAGTGTTGTGCCTTGTAGACTAATAAATAAAGAAATCCTGGAGAGAAATTCTACTTCAGTGGCAGTGTGAAATGGATGGTAGCAGACCAGCCACGTATTATTCTTTACCCAATTGACTTAATTAGAAAGGAAATAAAAAGAAAATCAGCTGGTTTGCTGTCGTCTGTTTTACACCTGTATGAAATTGAATTTTACTTTCTCCCCCCACCACCGTGATCAATGCCCGATGTTTGCTAAGTTAGCAGATCCAGAGTGATGAAGAGGTTGCTGGCAGGTAGAGGATGAAAGAAATTCCTTTCACTGTAAGCTACTTAATGACTGTTGGAATTTCACAGGGTTGGTTATGTGCAATCAAATACCATGGAGTAGAGAAATCAAATAAAACAAAACTCAGGTGAAAATTGAAGCTATGTTTAAAGAGAAAGAGATGTAAATTGACAACCAAAAAATGTTAAAATGAATTTAACAGCATATTTACAAACACATTTGTCTAAAAACTGAAGGTATCTAAGAAACTCTACACCATGAAACTCCTACACATTAGTTTATACCAAGCCTCATTGGTCCAACATCAACATGCTCACTGATCGTCTTTAGCTCCTGTTCCATTGACGCTTAAAATTTTAAAATTTTCATCTTTGTGTGCAAATCCTTCCCTCTTTATCTCTGCAACCTTCTCCAGTTCTACAACCCATGCAGAATACAACATTTCTCAAATTCTGGCTTCTATTGCATCAGTCCTTCCTCCAGAGTTTTGGTAGCCAAGCCATTAGCTATAGTGGTGTGAAGCTGCAGCATTCCTTGCCTAAACTTCCAATGTTCTCTTGCATTTAATTTAAAAAAAACTTGCTGAAACCTCTATTAGCAGCTGTGTCTTCCAGGTTCTGTGGTGTGCACCCCTTTCTCAGCTCTCTCTCTCCCCCCACTTAAAAACCTTCTTTCAAACACAATGCTTTAGACAAATTTTTAAAATTTTTTGATATTTCCTTTGGCTTGACATCCATTTTTGTCTGGCTATGTTTCTCAGAAGACCCCTGGAACCATTCTCCATAAAAAGTGCTACATAAATGCAAATTGTTCAAACTCCAGGTGTCTTAACATGCTAGGTCAAAAAATGTCAAAAGTTCAATGCTGTTGTTTCTACTCACTTTCAGAGTGACTTTATAATCTCCACATGGTCGAACTTCGCAAATCCGTGTTTGCTTTATCATATCACACTGTTGGTTTTTATTAGTTACACGAGTAGAAATGCCCGTGCCACAGGTTTTGGAACAGGCGCTCCACTGTGTGGTCTGCTGTATACAGTTAAGTGAATCCAACTCATAGGTTGCCTCCTGTCTGTTAACTGAACAGGAAAAAAAGTTATCTAACTCAAGTCTGTAAAAAGTTTGAAGTTATGATATTTATTGCAATTCCCGCAGAATTAAAATATCACCACTTTGATTGTATCTTAGAAACCTAGAATACTGGAAAAATACACTTTCAATTTTCACTTGTGTTTACTATAATAAACAATAGACCTAATTTCAGTAAATCTGCCTTCTATTAAAGATAAAAGACTTAAGGACATTGGGGAATTTGACTGGGAAGCTTTTTGGTTGCAATTACAAGCCAAGAAACTCTGGGTTTTCTTGACCTGGACTATCCTACATTCAAGATTAGCAAAAATAAACATTTTGTACCATGGAATGAATCCAGACTTCTGACATTAATCATGAGAATTTTAATACAAGTCACACATTAAAAAAAATCTCATGGGGGAAGCATTTATGTTCAACAAAAGAGTACATTCTCCAATTTTTCACACAAATACTTTCACTTTTTTTTAAAGTTTAATGCATCTCACAATCCAATGCTGTACTGAATCTGGTAACATTACTGATGGACAGTTCTGTGAAACTACATACCACTTAAGGCATCAGTTTTCAGATTTGATTTTGAACAGGATTGAATATTTAATTGTGGAATCTAGCAACTCAATCCAACTACTTTAGTCCGTGAGAATGCAACATTGACTAGACATTATGAATTTTCTTTCTAATATTAAGCATAATTCAACAGATGTTGTAAATCTGAAAACAATAAAAACATACTTGGCAAGTGAAACAAGATATCTATTGAAGAACAAGGGTCAGTCACTGAGGTTTCAGTTCTTCAGACCCTGTCTCAGGATCGGAAGACACTAAAGCTGAGCAACATTTCAAGAGGAAGAGGGCAGATGAGGTGAAAGGAAAAAGAAACAAGAAAATAAATAGAATGACCTGTTAAGTGCATGCATGGAGAACAAGAGATGGTTAAGAAAGAAAAGTGATATTAGCAACAGAGAAGGAGGCAGCAAGATGAGAGAAAGCAATGAAGTAACAGATGTTTACAAGACAAGACATTGTGTATGTGTGTAGTACAAGAAAGTAGTACAAAGGGAAACATGAGACACTGCCATGATGAAGCAAACTCCAATGGAGAAAAATCTGTGTGAACATGAAGGATGTTGATCACCCTATCAGTCGTGTTCCAACAGGGGTCAATACTCCAGGTATCAATAGACTCTCCCTATCCCACTATTCCCTGACAATACTGGAAAGCTTTTCGACCTTGCCAATAGATCCTGCTTAACAGAAATGAGTGCTGTAGTTGACTTTAACTATTTGAGAATTTAAGTTTATGGCCAGAAGGTTACAAAACACCTAGTTAGAGGATGTTGTGCTGGTACTTAAACATAAATTGAGATTGATCTGAATAATATAGAAGACCAAGGGCAGAGATGTTCAATTAAGAACTGAAATGGCAAGTGAAAGGGAACTTCAAGTAGCAACCACCTAATTTGTGGTTGCGTTCTTTTAGTGACGTTTGAGCAAAAAAGGTATTCTGGAATAAGTAGTACATTGAAATGACTGCAGAGGCCAGTTTCCTGTCACCAAGCCACCGTTTATTTACTTGTGCACTGTACACTGGCTGTGGCCCAGCCAGCTCAGAGTCAGTCTCCTGAACTAAGGAGATTCTAAATTTCCTGGTTATATTAGTCAGCCAGGCTTTCCTGATTGGCCTGGTTTAACAACCCTAATAAAAAGGATCTCACAGTCAACAAGATCCAGCTGGTTATAATCACTACATACATGTAAATTTCTGTCTCAAACAAAAAGTGTTTAGGACTCTGGACAATGATATGTGACAAGTAGAATCAGCAGGTGTTACATCTCAATCTTGCATGGACATTGCAAAAGTAAAGAAGGCAAGTGTTGGTTGTAATGGAAAAACAAACTAAGATGTCTTGGAGGTGCTGTTTATTTTGGAATGACAAGATGAGTAGATGAAGAGGGTGATGTGTTTGCAATGTGAATGCAGTAGAGAGGGTGGAAAAGGCAAACGACAATCAAATGCAGAGGTTGGTGGGCAGACTGTCATGTTGGGGAGGAAACCTTGGCTGAGGGGAAAAAGGAGGAAGTTTTGGAAGTTCTGATAAAGCAGAATGCATTAAATGCAAACTCAGCAGAGATGTCCTCACAAGATAAGGGGTCTGACGAAATTTAATCCAAGTGGTTTTGGGAATCAGAATAAGCATGTTAATCAACAGCTTATGTTGAACCATTGGGAAGACCCAAAAAGGAAAGTATAAATTTACAGATAGTCCACAATAACATGGCGGAAGTGTGAACATTTCAAGTGATAAAATACTCTAGATCAAAATGATCAAAGAACCACCAAACATCAATGTGTAAAACAGAAAGGTTTGCATAGTGCCTTTAACAATCAGAGATTGTCCCACTATTCTCTATAGACTAGGTAGGTAACTGTCAAATAAAGAAACAGGCTGAGGAGGATTGATATATAGGGTGACTGTAGCTCAAGAGTGAAAAAGGAGACAGGTAGGTCTAAAAGATTGGAAACTGGTAAGGAGAATCTACTTGTTTTTGTTGTGGGACATAAAGGCCAATTGTAATGCACCCATTTTTGTCCATGAAGAAATTAGCTAATCCAAAAGAGATACGGCTTTGAATCTAGAAATTGTTAGCTGTATGACTCAGAACCTTTCCTCGCCAACTAGGAAAGTTTTTAATAAAAAGTATAACCAGTAGATTCTAGAAAGAACTATGACAGACTGGTTTAGGTGTCCATTCTATATGTAACACGCCATTTTAGCCATTTCTTTGTCTAAAGCAGCACATACCAGAAGCACTAATGTTTATGTGTTTATATTTTGACTACTGACTGACAAAATATCTTGGATGTCTAATGTCTAATATGCTCTGTTGGAACAAAACTGCTATTAGAATTTATACACATTTCAGTGTTTAGCATAAAAGTAAAGCATCACTTTCCTAAAGCTGAAAAGTTGGAGCTACGGAACTGACTGCCCATTTAGAACTATTTGTACAGTACAGGGTGTAGAATAAAGTATCCACAGCATATAATAGTGAGAAAAACAAACATCATATCTTACCTGCCATTACAAATCCTTCAATAGGAGCTTCTTGTTTGTGGTCACACACCCATTGCTCACAACACTCTCCTGGCATCTGTACTTGTTTAGGAAATGGGCAATCAGGCCCAGGCAAAAGAACATCCAGATTACAACGTGGCACACAACCAATCAGACCATCTTTACAGGAACACTGGTATTTGCAACTTGGCTGGAATGTTTCACCATTTCGATAGACAACTCCATCATACATGCAAATGTTACCTTCATGTGCTGCAATTCAAAGATGAGGGGTAATAAGTTTACATCATTCTTAGTAGGAGTGCCAGTGAATAGAGAAATCGACATCTAAGTGACAAACAGATTTTTTGATAAATTATAGTGGGAGGAAAAGAAAAACAACTTGATTCACAAGTGCTCATTTTCTTCATTATTCAGTAGATGAACAATCCATTTTGTTCAACATAATGCCTTTGAAAGTTTCTTCAGAACTATAAATTCAACTTAAAAAAAACTTATAAAAAAATACTCTTAGGAAATATTTGTTCAAATTGAATAGTTTAACCATTCACATGTACATTAAACTGGTATAGCACAGAGTGGACTCTGGAAGTGGCACAGTGTTGACTGATGAAGGCTGGAGTAGGTCTCTGGCTGCAGAGTGCAGTGGGCTGGTGAAGCCTAGAACTTTAAGTTATCTATCTTTATTCTTTATTTTATTTTAAGTTAACAAGAATTGCACCGACTCTTGGTGATAGTATAAACCTTTCACCATATTTGAATACACATAGCAATAAATGATTGACTTCAATAAAACAATATCCCAAACTGCAGACTGTTTTTTACTTACCAGGGAAAATACTCATGAGTTTGAAGTAATAATCTCATATCCTGGTGAAACTGTACCTTGCAGCATGATCATTGGCAGCATTTAGTGTCTAACACATTGCATAAAACTGACAATTCCTCTGTAATAGGGGTGCAGTAGTAACGTCACTTGACTAGTAACCATGACCTCAGGCTAATGGTCTGGAAACATGAGTTTGAATCCCACCATAGCACATGGTGAAATCTGAAATCAATAAAAAATCTGAAATAAAAAGCTAGCCTAATCACATCCATGTAACCACTGCCAATTGTTGTAAAACATCACCTGATCCTCCACTGTCCTTCAGAAAATTCTAAACCACCCTTACCTAGTCCAGCCTACATGCGACTTCAGATCCACAAAAATGTATTGCCTCTTAATTGAGTCCTGGACAATTAGGGATGGGCAATAAATACTAGACTAGTCTGCAATATCATCATCTCATGAACAAATCAGAAAAAATTACTGGATGTAATTTACTATTAGTAGTACTAGTCAATAAACATACCATTTTTATTTCTCTGATGAATGTAGTTGAAGTGATAAGAATGTCAGTATTTAGTCAATTTGTGTGACTGTTTCTCTAACTGCAGGCTGAAATATCCTTTATTATTAGAAGCAATAAAGCAGTCTGGAAATGTTATCTAAATAGCCTACTCCAAAATTGTAAAGAGGCCACTAACAAATTTTTATGCTTCAGGAAGTTGGTTTGTGTTTCCACAAATAAACATTTACACAAACAACATTTATTTGAGAGAAAAAAAACACAACATGATCAGTGAAAGGATCACTAACATTAAAATTCCTGCATGCAATTAGGGTTGAATTATTGAATTAAAATTTCTTCTAATAGCTGGATCCATTTTCAAAGTGAATGTGGTGAGGGAACTGATGTACTATATTTCCAGTTACTTGTCTGACCCTACTTGTCAAGGGGCACATCATTATGAACTATCAGTAATGCTACAGTACCTAGTTAACAATGAATTCACCCCCCCTTAATCCAACTGGTTTAGAATCAAGGTTTTAAATTTCACTATACTTGTGAAAGCTGTAACTTATTTCTTTTGTATAAGAATTACCAATTCCTTCAGAAAAATTAAAACATCAGTTGGATGATGACTACTACTTGTGCAGCAAAGATTTATTATTTTCCATTAATGATGTCTCTTTGATCCAAGGATAAATCACTGAGGGGAAAAAAAAGGCAGAATTCATTTAGTTTAAAAATGTTGTGTATTTCTCAAAGTTCCTTTGTTCAAATAAAAACAGTTCATAATTTCCATCTCCCTCTGTATTTCTAATTCATCACGCTAGACAGCATTCTAGTAAATACACATTCTATATTACCTCAGCATACATCCCAACATGGGTAATACACAATTTCACATCATACTCTAATTCAGATCTTAATGGGTGTAGGATCATAATCGATAACAACCGAGATCAGTGAGTGGCAAAAATAGCCTCTTTATTGAGCATCCACAGTAGAATAAACCAAGGCAGCATCAGAATCCAAAGTACAGTTTTACAGTAGCCTCTTATGCACAGCTTTTACATACATTACATTTTGGCACAATGGTGTCACATAGTTGTACCTATTGTACGCAAGTTTGCGTGGCATCTGTCCTGGGGAAGCAGGAGATGGTGTAAGCACTTGCTAATTGCTGGGATTAGAATGACTGTCCAATCCGAGCTTGCATTATTAAGAGGTGTTAGGTTTTTTGTCTTTAAAGTTAGGAATGTTCGTAACAATTCTAGACCTATGATCTAAATAAGTGAGAAATTATATGTGTACTAAATAAAATTATAGAAGATATTAAACTGATCTTCTGCAGCTGGGTTGTGAGATTTCATTTACTATGTCGGTTTTTGACAGTTCTTACACATTTATTTGTGCAGTTTCACGGAAGTGCTGTTTTGATAGTAAGTTTCTTAAAGGGTGTAGTGGCCCTATTTAATGCGTTTAAAAAGTATAAATACATAGGTTAGTACAAGATCGTTGTCCAAAATAAAAGTTAGAAATAGGTAATGTATAAGGAGATTTCAAAGTGATACAGAGCAGCAGACTGTAGGGACATGCTGGTGGAGGAAACAGTTGATGTGCTGCAATCTAATCAGGTCCCACGAGATGGTTACTAAGGGCTAATTGATATTACAACCTTTCCATAGTTTCAGGTGAGTTATGGAGATACAATGGTGGGGGTGGCATTGTTCTGAGTAGGTTACAGTATTAACACTTGTTCAGGGGTAACCTTTGATACAGAACAGGTCTAAACGCTGCTTGCAGCATGAGGCAGATAATAATTGAAAAGGTGTAAAGAAACAGGAATGTGTTGGAAGGGATATTTAATTTAGTTTATCTTGTAAGAGTAAAATGTACTACAAAAATGTGATTTTATGAATGAGTGAATGGAAACAGCGTATAATAAACAGAGCACTTGCGAGTGAGTTAATAAAGAGAATCATAATACAATATCTCACATGGGGTTTTGCAAATCTGTCATTACACTCCAGCCTCACTTTGATATTGCTGGCCATTAAATCCAGTATTACATCAACTGTTACAGCCATTTACTCAAAGTGCTATCCAAAATGGATTGTTAAACTAAATCTTAAATTCCTCTACATTACTCAAATATTTTCCCATTCAAACTATCTTGTTTTTTAAATGGCAGTGAAATCGACATTTTTTTGTCGATTTTACTTTGAACAATATTCCCTTGCAGCTCCCTTCGATCCTCGATTTTTTTCCTCCTCCATGTTCTATAATTTGTTCATTTGGAAGCCACTTTTTCTAACCCTATATTCAAGTCATGATGTACAATAAAAGAGAAACAGAACGAAACTCAATTGGGCACCACTGCCCACTTTCAACCACAGATAAACTGCTATTAAAGTTATAATTCTTTCCTTCTGACAAATTCCCTTTTACTAAAATTTTAAATCTTCAATATTCGCTTTGCCTGAGATGCTCTGAAACTCTTTTGTATCCCATATTATGGGATAACTCATTCCATGTTTTGTTCACAAATCTTCAAGGACAATCTTCCTTTTATGCGAGATGGGTTGGCTGTCTTTAATTATTCACCTCGGAGTGAATTATTTAACCTTTACTTAATGTAAAAATATTGAATTTTTTTTAAAAATTGGTTTCAAATCACCCAGGTTGGCTCTGCCATCCTTGTGAAAGATTTGTCTGGACAGTCTGGAGTCCTTCGCTAGACACATATAGTTTAGGATTTCCTATCAGTGAAACTGGCAAGTAATCTCAAAAATGTAAACAGTGCTCCCAATTTACTCCAAAATATCATGATCATAACAAGCAGGTGAATATCAGCAGAATGTCTAGCATGGTTTGCACGTACGCAGGTATTGCAATATGTTTGTCATAAAAATAAATGCATAAATTCTTTCCTAATTGAATGCTGAAAAAGGTGGGGCAAATTTGCTCAGAATCATAGAATCCCTACAGTGTGGAAACAGGCCCTTCGGCCCAACAAGTCCACACCGAACCTCAGAGCATCCCAACCAGACCCATTCCCCTGTAACCCACCTAATCTACACATCCTAGAACACCATGGGCAATTTAGCATGGCCGATCCACCTAGCCTGCACATTTCTTGACTGTGGGAGGAAAGCAGAGCAACGAAAGGAAACCCACGTAGACAGTCGCCCGCGGGTGGAATCGAACCCAGGTTACTGATGCTGTGAGGCAGCAGTGCTCACCACTCAGCCATCGTCTGATTATCCACACAAACTCAACAACAACACAGATATCGGAAACTAGTATACCTTATTCTATTTATTTGGAATGTTTCGTCAACAAAAATTGCTCCCAGCAACCAGCGCAGGAGGAGTTGGGGAGTCGAACCCCAGCCGCTGTTTCTTCAGCTTCGATTATTATGCCCTCCCTCTTTTCCCTTTACATCTAAACACCTTCGTTTGGTCCCAACATTTTATCCTCCTTTGGGTTTACACCACCAAACAGTTTCGATAGTTACCAATTTCGAATGAGCCCCTTTAGTCACAGATTCATTATTTTTAATAATTTTTAAGAATATAGATTCTCGGAACCTGCAATGACAACTTAGCTGACGTGTTCAGCGTGAAATAAATGTGCCAACATAGATGAAGGTTCTTAATTGAATTGCTCAGTAATTGTAATATTTCTCTGAAAATAATATGAGGTGGGCTAGTTACTAAGTTCACCATGCACACTGTAAACTCACCAATGCAAATGCCGACTCCTTGTCGTGTATCGGCGCTGAATTCGCACTGCAATCCTTGGTGCGAATCACAGATATCGTTTAGGGTGCACACTTCGCCGGCTTGTTTGGCACAAACTCGGCAGCAGGCGCAGTTGTCCAAGACTAGCCGCACTCCGGGTGTACATTTTGGTGGATCCTTTGGGCACTTACAAGGGGAGGAACATTGCTGGCCGCTGACCCGCTGTAAAACAGAAAGACGGAAAACAAAGACTTTGAAATACCAAATTTGAAATGCATTGCACGTGTTCCTCTCACAGTTTCCCTGGGGTGGGGTGGGGGGTAAGAAACAACTTTTGAATTGTATTTCATTTATTCTGTGAAATGCATTCACCTCAGTTATAAGCACAAGTAGAGGAACCAGTGCCACAGTGAGGGCCTGCATACTGCCACTACTGAAAAACCAGAGTCTATCTACCTCTGGCCAGCACTGTCAGCCGCTTGTACTTTATACAGCCGCCTTTCCACCGAAGCGCCGCTCTGATTGGCTGAGGCCGCGGATGTTACAGTCAAGCGTCTCCCCTGGCTGCTATGACAACTCCCCGGGGATTGGACAGCAGCGTTCCATAACAGCCGTCGCTATGGCGACGCTGCGCGCGTTTGGAGTGGGCGGGAAGGTTGAGCCGGTGATTGGCACCAGATACTCGGAGCCCAGTCTCCCCGTAGCCCGGAGGAGGATCACCTGAGCCCGGCCTCCCCGGAGCCTGGAAGCGTACCCGCTGAGCCCAGTCTTAGAGTCCGGGGGCGGACGCCTGGAGCCCAGATACCCGGAGGGTCACGTCATTTAATAGGCACATTTTCCAACGTTTGGTTGGACACTTTTTTTTGTTTGTATTCATATTCCAGTGTAAGTGCTTATTGATACCGATTCCCCAAACCGTGCGACATATTACACGACAGGTGCGCCTTGTTATTTGTTGCAATCGCCGCAAGCAAGCGAACGTCCGCTTCAGCCGGGACGTCAATGAATAGGGGGCCTGTGCAATGTGCAGCATGGGTGTCAAACATCGGTCTTGCAGTCGCCAAAACAACCGGAGCGCAATGTGCTGGGTAACGCAGTGTTAATGTTGGACTCCGAGCAGCATGTCGTCTGGTCTGCTTCCGGTAGGATCCCTAGATGAGATGTTATGTCCCGCAAACACTGTTTGGAGACCGAATGACTCCTGTGAGAACCGTCACAACACGTAGTTACCAAAATGATTACTCATTAGAATCAAATTCGTGGTAGGCAAGTAAAATAAATGAACGAATGGGCCATCTGCTGTATTCTGTTCAGGAGCGATTAGGTAGATTTTGCCATGTTGACTTTCCGAAATAACCGTCCAAAATGTATCACCTTGTAAAAATCAACTTTAATAAACTTGTACGATAACAATTGAATTATTAATTCAGACAGCTTAGTTAGCGTGTTTTTATTTCATGTTGTTATCTTAGGCTGCAGGTATGACAGAGACCTAGCCCTATCGTTCAAAGTATTTTCTGAATAGTTCTCCCATGTGTATGGATGACAGCTCCTTTTGAATTTGGCTGGCATTTATTCAAATCTATAACTATTAGCTTAATATTTAAGAACTGCAATTATTCAAACCATTTAGTCAGTTTGAAATTTTCAGATCACTCAGGCCATAGTTGGTACAGCAATAAGAAAGCAATAACTGTATACACGCAAGTATAAGGTAAAACTAGTGACTGAGGTTTAAGATCATTGGTTTTTAGATCATGGTTGAGGAAGGCTTAAACTAGTGTAATGGGGGAGGGAAACCAGAAGAGTAGGACATTTAGATGCAAGAATTGAGGGAGAAGCAGAAACCAAGGCAAACATGGCTAAGAACAAGAACAAGCAGGGAAACACTGCTGAAAAGAGTGGGGGTGGTCTGAAATGCATGTCATTCAATGCGAGAAGTATAATAGGCAAGGTAGATGAACTTAGAGCTTTGGTTAGTACTTGGAACTCTGATATTATTGCGATTACAGAGACTTGGCTGAAAGAGGTACAGGACTGACAGTTGAATGCCCCAGGATTTAGATGTTTCAGGTGTGATAGAAAGGGATGTAAAAGGAGTGGAGGAGTTGTATTAGTAATGAAGGAGTATCTCACAGCTGTACTGAGGGAGGACACATTAGAGGACTCATGCAGCAATGCAATATAGATAGAACTCAGGAATAGGAAAGGTGACATTACAATGCTGGGGTTATACTACAGGCCTCCCAACAGCCAGCAGGAGATAGAGGAGCGAACATGTCGACAGATTTTGGAAAGATGCAAAAACAGCAGAGTTCTTGTGGTGGATGATTTTAACTTCCCCTATATTGACTGGGACTCACTCATGCAAGTGGCTTGCTGGGGCAGAATTTATAAGGACCATTCAGTAGGGTTTCATGACACAGTATGTAAACAGTCCAACCAGGGAAAGGGTTATACTGGACCTAGTTTTGGGAAATGAGCCCGGCCAGGTGGGTGAAGTTTCACTTGGGGAGCATTTTGGAAGTAGTGACCATAATACTGTGAGTTTTAAGATACTCTCGATAGGAATAACAGGAGCCCTTGGTTGAAAGTGTTAAATTGGGGAAGGTGAACTACAACAATATTAGGCAGGAACTGGAGAATTTTGATTGGAGGTGACTGTTTGAGGGTAAATCTACATCCGACATTTGGGAGTATTTCAAATGGCTGTTGATAAGAGTTCAGGAGCGGCATATTACTGTAAGAATAAAGGATAGATATGGCAAGTTACGTGAATCTTGGATGACCAGGGATGTTTTGACCTTAGTCAAAAATAAAAAAGAAGCATATATATGGTCTAGGAGGATAGGAACTGACGAAACCCTTGAAGTATATAAGCAAAGCAGGAAAGAACTTAAACAAGGAATTAGAAGGGAATAAGAGAGTCATTAAAAGCCATTAGCAAACAGGATTAGGGAGAATCCCAAGGCTTTTTATACATATATAAAAAGCAAGAGAGTAGCCAGGGAACGGTTTGATCCACTCAAAGGCAAAGGAGGGAATCTATGTGTGGAGCCAGAAGAGGTAGGTGAGGTCCTAAATGAATACTTTGCGTCGGTATTCACCAAAGAGAAGGAATTAGTGGAGGATGATCTCAGGGAAGGAAGTGTCAAATTTCTAAGCCAAGTTGCTATTAAAAAGGAAGGTATGTTGTTTGTCTCAAAAAGTATTAACATATATAAGTCTCCGGGTCCTGATGGGATCTATCCCACAATATTGAGAAAGGCAAGAGAACGAATTGTGGAGCATTGACAAACATTTGTATACTCTTTGGGCACAGGTGAGATCCCAGAGGACTGGAGAATAGCCAATATTGTACCATTGTTTAAGAAGGGTAGCAGCGATTAGCCAGGAAATTACATCCCTGGGAGCCTCATGTCGTGGGTAGGGAAATTATTGAAAAAGATTCTCAGGGACAAGATCTATATGTGTTATGAAGCAAATGGACTTATTAGCAATTGACAGCATGGTTTTGTGTGGGGAGGTCTTGCCTAACTAACTTGATTGGTGTTTTTGAGGAGGTAAAGAAGATGATTGAGGAGGGAAAAGTGGTTGATGTTGTCTACATGAACTATAGGAAAACCTTTGTCAATGTTCCTCATGGCAGACTGGTACAAAAGATGAAGTCACATGGTATTAGGATGAGCTGGCAAGATGGATACAAAACTGGCTTAGTCATAGGAGACAGAAGGTAGCAGTGGAAGGATGTTCTTTGGAATGGAAGGTGGAACGTTGTGACTAGTGATGTTCCATAGGGATCAGTGCTGGGACCTCTACTGTTCGTAGTCTACATAAATGATTTGGTGGAAAACATGGCTGATATAATTAGTAAGTTTGCGGATGATACAAAGATTGCTGGAGTTGCGGATAGTGAGGAGGATTGTCAGAGGATATAGCAGGATATTAATCAGTTGGAGGCATGGGCAGAAAACTGGCAGATGGAGTTTAATCCAGACAAATATGAGGTTATGCATTTTGGAAGGTCAACTACAGGTAGAAATTATACAGAAAATGGCAGAACTCTTAGGAGTATTGGTATGCAGAGGGATCTGGGTGTGCAGATCCATAGATCACTAAAGGTGGTAGCACAGGTAGATAAGGTACTGAAAAAGGCCTATGGCATGCTTGCCTTCATTGGAAGGGGCATTAAGTATAAGGATAGGCAAGTTATGCTGCAGCTTTATAGAACTTTAGTTAGGCCACACAGAATATTACGTACAGTTTTGGTCACCACACTTCCAGAAGGATGCTTTGGAGAGGGTACAGAAAAGGTTTACCAGGATGTTGCCTGGTATGGGGATTTTAACTATGAAGAGAAGTTGGATAGACTGGGTTTGTTTTCACTGGAATGCAGGAGTTTGAGGGCCAACCTGATAGAAGTTTAAAAGATTGTGAATGGTATGGATAGAGTGGGAAGTATGAGACTTTTTACCAGGGTGAAGGGGGTCAGTTGGTAGGGGACATAGGTATGGGCAGAGGGGGGAGGAGTTTAAAAGAGATGAGCTATGTAAGTTTTTCACACAAAGGATGGTAAGTGCCTGGAACGTGTTGCCAGATGAGATGGTGGAAGCAGGCACAATATCAGCATTCAAGAAACGCCTGGATGAATACATAAATAGGAAGGGAATAGAGGGATATGGATTGTGTAAGTGGAGACAGTATCAGTATGGAAGGGCAAAATGTGCCGGCACAGACTTGGAGGGCCGAAGGGCCTGTTCCTGTGCTGTATTGTTCTTTGTTCTTCTTTGTTCTTTATCATGGCTGATTCACATCTAAACTCCATGGTTGGATGTTTCGTTCTGAAAGCCTTAACAACTTTACTGAATGAAAATCTGTCAGTCTCAGTTTTAAAATTTCCTACTGAAATAGCCTCAACAGTGTTTTGGCAGAGAATTTCAGATTTCCATTACTCTCTGCATGAGCAAGTGCTTTCTGACAAGACATCTAAACTGCCTCGTTCAATTTTTAAAGTAATGCCTCCTTGTTTTTACTGTCACATGAGAGGAAATAGTTTCTCTTCATCTAGTCTATCAAATCCTTATATTAGACCACCATTAATCTTTGGTACTCAAGGATACAACGCTAAGTTAGCCATTACACACATCTCCTGATCTTAAATTTTCATTGAGGTCAAGGCAGACCCTGTATTGAGTACCTATCATGTGCATTTGTGCTGAGTTTTCACCATGTGTTAGATTCTTGCAGGTCATACCCTCCTTACACAAGGTACTAATCTCTCTGCTAATGTAAAGGACTGGTGTATATATTATTGTCTCTTTAGAAGGCTTGCCTACCTCCAAGTGGTATTTCTCAGAATACTCTTGCTTCTGAGAAGGACGTGTAGGAAAAAGTACATGAATAAAAAGTTACCACCATACTGAAAAGTTATCTGAATATGCATTTATTTGA